ATTTCACTTTAAGATCTTTAATTACCTTGCTGACTTTTTCGTTGTCTGAAATAAAAAAACTCATAAAAAAATTTATCTTTATGCGAAATAAAGTCTTAGAGTCCCGGGGGTCACATTACGGTGCATATCGATTAACGTCAGGACCAACAGACGAGCTACCGAGAAGATTCTTCAGACCTTGACGATAATATCCACTAAAACATTTACAGATCCAAGGGTTCATCGCACAGTTCGACATAGCTAGAAATAAGGAAACGGACCGGAAGTAATAGAAGCCACAAGATGATGTTATTGTTCGGTCTGAGTTGAAGAACATGAACCACACAATACTTTGGGGCAGCCAACATAATGCATACTCCAACACGATGGCAACGGACAGTTTAAGAACATTCCACTGTATTTTCAAGCGTTTTTCTCTTGTGTTAGTTGATTGCTCTCCTGGAATTTTCTGGGATTTGATTTTTAAAGCAATGGCAGAGTAAACTATGGCGATAAAAACCAAAGGTGCATAAAACATTACAACATTCATCACCATAGAGAAGTTTTTGAAGGACGAGTATCCTCCGAATACGTCATTCCGATCAAGCACACACGCCAGCCCCTCTGGAGACTCGACCACCTTCGAGGCGAACAGGTCTGGGCACCAGATAGCCATAGCGATGATCCAAGTGGTGAGAATGTAGAACCGGCATCGCTTTGAATTAATAAGCGGAGAACGGAAGGGAAATTTCACAGCTCCAAACCGATCGACCGTTATTAGAACTAAGCTTTGAATAGACACAGCACGGGACACATTAGGTGCACAGATAATCAGCTTACATAACACTTGACCAAGCGGACCGCCTATCAGCCAGGAGCGAGTGTGTGTCAAAACCAAATTACAAGGAAAAAGGAAAATCGGAAAAAGCAAATCGGACATGGCCATGTTAACAGTCAAGAAATTTTAAAGGCTTTCCCAGAGTTTTTGTCTTAAAGACAACCAACGAAACAAGAAAGAGCAAACAGTAAGCAAAGGTTTTACCGATTCTTGTCGCTGTGGGGTTGAAACAGCTCGACATGGACTGTGTTCCATTCATCGTTGCAGCTACGTTTTCTGACATTCTTGAGAGATCAGTTCTTATTCAGTCAGTGGTTAACTGAAGGCTGCCTCTACTCTATTTAAAGAAAACAAATAAGTTCACACGGCAAACAGGTGAATAATCAGACATAGTTTGACGCTACTCTGGTTTGCAGATTTAATGAATGTAACCGAAGAAGTTACGATTCATAGACCCAACGTTTAGACACTCCTGTCTAGTGCCTTCATCAGGGGTGATCTAAACACTGCAACAAGAGGTCCTTTTATATGATCACTAATTAGCGGCTTTTTGGTGCTCTTTTAACCGTGTACCAAACTGACGTTTGGTCTGTCCGATGTATTCGTTGTCACAGTCATTGCAAGGAATAGAATAAATGGTGTCGGTTCGTTGTTCTTTCGTGACAGGATCCTTAGGTTTGGCTGGGCATATATTTTTGTAGCTTTGGGGCATATTTTCGCCAAACCTAAGGATCCTGTCACGAAAGAACAACGAACCGACGCCAGCGGTTTTTCTTTGCAAAAAGGAAAATTCAGCTTTATCGGAGCATACATGCCTAACCAACCATACAATTGGGTGGGATAATTCTAAAATTATCACCACTAATCGGCGTTACCATCAGCGCCTTTGTTTGGAGGCTTGGCATATTAACTCCGCCCACGCTCCTTTAAATCGTGATGATGGCGGTTTGCTTCCTGTCGCCTATTTATACCTCGTCAGAAAAAAGGCCGTTAATTAGTGATCATATAAAAGGACCTCTTGTTGCAGGCTTTATACAAGATCAGTATTATTTTCTAATTTTGCTCAAGATGTTTTGGAGGATTACAGCAAATATGATATCTCCGGTGCTGTAAACATCTTAAACGACCGCCTACGCTCATCAACCTTCTGTGCTTCGGCGAGGACTCTTCAAATGTAAACATCGCCGAGGGACAAATTTCAGTCCCCGCGGTGAAACCAAAGTGCAGGTGATATGACTATCAAAGAAGAACAAAAAGACGAGTAAAGGAGTAAAAAAGAATAATTATCAGTTTCGATGAACTGTATCCCTGAAGTTGTTTTAAGCAAACGATAATTTCCCTTTTTTTAACCAATCTTTGACTTCGAGCAGTTTTCAGAGAACTACCTATATTCTCAATAAAAAAAACAAAGCTGTTTACCAACAAATAACTTTCATTAACTGTCTTTAACCAAACTTCTTTAACTGAGTTGGATTTAGTTTTCTATGAGGAACAGATCCAAAAATTTTTATCCCATAGTAAAAACTCCTTTCCTTACCCGCTTATTAACTTTTTTCCTGTCTTCATTTTGTATTTTATTTTATTTTATAAAAGCTGTAAGCAAAGTTGAATCCGATTCTCTTTCCCTCACTAACTGGATTCAAGCAGCTCGGTACCTGTGTTCCATTCATAGTTGCGATCACATTTGCCGACATTCAGCCAACAGCTCTGAACGCTATCTTTTTTTAAGTGAACGCAGGGATGATTTGCATAGATATTATTATTGTTCTAAATTGCATACGTTAGCTTCTCCAGAAATTCAAGAATATCGACAGATGTACCCTGAATCTTCATTTTGATTAGCAAAAGTATCTACAATTGACGTTGCCTGAGATGAAATAGTTGGGAATGAGGATGAAACACGGGAACCGCCCCTGAAAGCATGTAGTAAGAAGCGGTCAAGTTTCAGGTCTTTTTATTTGAACATGTTTTCAAAATTAAAAAGAATTATTAATAGGCATTCTTTTTATCGCCTTTTTTATATCTTTTTTTTCAGAGGCATTGGGAAAAGCTTTATGCAATTACAAGAATGCAAATTTCGGAGGCATTGATTCTGGCGTAGCCAAAGTGTGAAGGAACTGAAAGAAATTTTATATTTAAGTCGTCATCCATTATGCTCTATGAAAACCTGGGTGCCACCTGAAGCCTGTAATAAGAAGCGTTTAACTTTTGTCTCTCAGCTCTTTATTTGAACATAATTTAAAAAAATTTGAATTTTAAAACGTTTACTTTAAAAGACGGAAAAATAATTCAAGTCAACATCGGCACTCTTTTTTATCATTATCTTTTTGTCCCACTAGGGACGTAGGGAAATTGTCATACGATAACAAGGGAGCGAATTTCTAAATCATGATATAATTTCACAAAATCTGACGTTTCAGGCGTTTCTGCCTTTGTTGGATCCTTACATACGAAAGTTTGAAGGGAAGAGAAATTTTAAGTCATCCCTCACTATATACTTTGAAAATCAAACCCGGGTACCAGCTGTTTAGTTTTGTCTCTCTTTATTTGAACATCGCATCGAACTTTCAATTTTCAAAAAAAAAAGAAAAGTTTAAAAGACGAAAGCTATTAATTTAAGTCAATATCGGCATTCATTCTATTTTATCTTTTTTTTTTAAATTTCTTTTTCCACCAGAAGCATTTGGAAAATTTTCATACAATTACACGAGAGCGAATTTCCGAAACAGATGACTTTATTTCACAGATCTGACATTTTCTCGATTCTGACGGCCGAAGTGTAAAGGAAAAAGAAATTTTTAAAATTCGTCCCCCATTATGCTCTATGAAAACTTTGGGTGTCATCTGAAGCCTGTAATAAGAAGCGATTAAGTTTCGTCTGTCTTTATTTGAACATATTCATATCTACGAATACAAGAAATCCTCGCAGCTATGAACGCTACTGAACTAGTAGTTGAAATAAGACCTGAAAAAAATTCAGGCCCGTACAGGATTGAAACCCATGACCTCTGCGCTACCGGTGCAGCGCTCTACCAACTGGGCTAACAAGCCAACTGGGAGCTGGTCAGTACATTGGATCCAAATAAACCATCATATCACAGAGGTCATGGGTTCAAATCCCGTACGGGCCTGAAAATTTTTATTCAGGTCTTATTTCAACTACTAGTTCAGTAGCGTTCATAGCTGCGAGGATCTCTTATATTCGTTTCTTTACCGCAATGCACATATATGATTTTCATATATCTACAGTCATTATTTTCATATCTTTTCGTCTGTCTTTATTTAATTTGAATATGTTATATCATGTATAAAATCTTAATCAGAATTATAGGCGGGGGGGGGGGGGGGGGAAGGGGGATGAATCTTATGGAAGTCACAAACACCTGTATTTGTATTACCGCTTGCTGTGGAAGTGATGTGAAAATTTGAATATTTCATTCTGATAATGCACACTGAAACCAATTATTTTAGGTCTTTATTTGGGTTTGTTGTCATGGATCACGAAATTTTGTTTGCATTTTCCAGTTAATAGCTGTTTTTAAAATTGCCGTCGGCAACTATGGTGGACCCGGAAGTAGGACAAATCTAGAAGAAAGTTTTCACAATTTTCTACGTTATCACCTGCTAATTCGTTACCAGTCCACGGGACACTTTTAAGACAAAATAAAAGCGCTTTAGGGCCCGAAAAAACCGAGTTTTGAGTTTTTTTAAATTTTTCTTTTATGGGAATTAGTTCGTACACATAATAAGCTAAATATTTACGCCAAAAAAATTTCGTGTCATGGGCACTTTAACTCTAATTACCCAGAATTCTTTAACTCATTTCGGCAGGTGAAAAAAGAAATTGTAAAAGGGATGTTTGAATTTTTAAATTGTTTGGGTTTGTTGTCATGGATCATGTCTTAAAGTGCCTGTGACGCGAAATTTTTTTTTTGCATTTTCCGGTTAACCCTTTTCCTCCCAACGTCACATATGTGTGACGATAAATGCGGCTGACCGATGCTGAGCCCGCTAGGGGTGAAATACTTGATTGCAATAGCCCCCCTCTGTCTCATTTGACGCCTGGCGATTTTTGTCGGTTTCTTCGGTGTTTTTCATGTGAATTTTCCTGCTTTTGACCGAAAAAATTGCGATTCTTTTCTGTTCGAGTTTTCGCGCGAAGTTCAGGAACAGCTGATCAGTAATGGCTTCAACTTCTGGAAGTGAATTTGTAGTAAATTCGGCTGCAGAGACTTCTCAAAACGTGGATTTAGTGTTCGTAGACGAAGATGAAATGCCATTGACTTCTGTAGCTATAGGCACGGCATATTTAGAGCGAGAGTCTGACGAGGAAATTGACTCAGACTTTTATCAGACTGACTCTGAGGCTGAAGAAAGTGACGAAAATGAAGAATTACAACAAGCAGGTCCTCCCAGGAAGCGGAGACGTATAGCACAGGGAGAAAACGATGTTGTGGGCGATCCTGTTTGGGTAGAAGACATCAGGACGCATTCAGACCTGCCTTTCACCCAACCCACGGGGCCTAAAGTTCGAATGGGAGCGGATCAAAAAGACCCAGTGAGTTATTTTTGTCTGTTTTTTACTGATGCCTTGCTTGATCTAGTTGTGACACAAACAAATTTGTATGCTGCCCAAGGGAGAGCCAAAACCCCGAATAAACACCGTATGCCTTGGCACGCAGTGGACAAAAATGAAATAAGAACATTTATTGCCTTGATTTTAGCAATGCAAGGCTCATGAAAGGCTGGACATGGTATCTAAAACTCTTCTATCATTTCTTGGAGGTGTCAGTTTTGAATGCATATCTTGTTTACTGCAAGGGAAAAGATGATGATCAACCAGATCTGAGCATGATGGATTTCCGGATTCTGGTAATCAGAGGTTTACATGGTGGAAGGAGCTACAAGATTGCCCCCACAGCTGCTGCACCTCAAATATCAAGATTGAATCTGTCTTTGGGACACTTCCCAGTCAAAGTTGACAAACGGTGTGCTTGTAAAGTTCACCTGCAGCGAGTGTTGACTTCATACAAGTGTGGACTGTGTGGAGTCCACATGTGCCCCAGCCCTTGTTTTGAGAAGTACCACACCCTCCAAGACTATTTGTATGATGATCCTGAATATGGAGCAGCAACCCCACTTCTGAAACCTTAGAATCCTGGCAGGCCTTTTGCAAGAGGAAGACCTAGGCAGATGAGGCAGTGAACTCTCCTATAAGTAGCGGAACATTGACCATTGGTTGTCAAAAACTGTTCACTTATTGCTGTTGTTGTGACACACCATTGCCAACAGCATACTGACATTGTAGCACTGGTATGTCCAACTCCATGCTTATAAGAGATATTATTTGGTGTTTCCTTGTTCAAAAAATTATGTTTTCTGATTGTTTATTCTACAAATGTATGTACCCATAATTAATGGGATTATGGACATGACTGTTTCTTTTGATTGGTTAATCATTAACCTGCAGATATTTGAAAAACTTGGAGAAGGCAGTTATGCTCAGAAAGGTTGTTTGGATCAGTCTGGTAAAAAATAATACCTTATGAGATTTAAGTTGCTGTTAAATCCTCAGTTGATTAATTTTTGAAATGATTTATAGAATTAAAATTTACGATGAAAATTGCCTTACTGTTTGAGGGCCGTAAGAAGCTTTTTTTAGATCAATATAACAAATATTTGTGATTTATCTTAAAGGTCATTTCTTAGCTTAACAAGAATGACTATTGTTATTATGAAAATTGACAGTTACAACCATTTATTTACGGTGTTGTCTTTTTTGCGAAAATTAATTACCATACCCATGGGAGGAAAAGGGTTAATAGCTGTTTTTAAAGTTAGAAATAATCGACCTTAGCGCCTAGAGAGTTCTCCTTGACCAATTTTATGTGCATTGACAACCATATGGGAGGAAAAGGGTTGGAGCCGGAAATAGAAAAATCTAGAAGAAAGTTTGTCAATTTCAAAACATCAGCAACTATAATCTATCAGGACAGGGATTGCAGTTTTCCGCCGAAGCATGATGAAGCATCTTTACTTTAAGTGTTTGGGGTTATTTAAGTTCGTGGTTAAATCGATTCTCGTTCGTGTTAAATCGATGTGCGTAAAACAAGGATCGCCGTATTTTTTCGAGTAAACGCCCTGGGTGCTTAATACATTTTTAGACTTTCAGAGTAACCGCTTATTCGAGGAGGGCGCTTTTGTGATTTACTTCATTTTCAGCAAGTATTTAGTTTATTTCGCCACAAAATGATAAATAATAACAATACTCGAAGATGAACTATAGGCAGTGAATTTCGAGATTGTAAGGAAATATTGAATAAGTTATACTCTTCTTAGAGGCTCTCGATCGGGTTAACCGTTAGGCATAAAACGGCCTAAAAGTTTAGCCGTTAGGCGGAAAAATTGGCAAATTTTAACCTTTAGTCGCAAAAAAGTTAACAGTAAAAATTTTCTTGGTAATCACAAAGGAAGGAAGTTAACCGCTAGCCGTAAAATGGCCGACATTTTAACCGTTAACCATCGCCTTCTGAAGAGCCTCCTCCTATACACTACGATTTTTTTTGCAAGCAGGGGGGTTGGGAGGGGGAAGCAGAAGGAGAGGGGAGGGCCCATAATCGAGGTGAGGCGTCAATCCAATAAATACGGAACTTGAGAGGAATAACCGTAATAACAATTTAGCTTATGAGAGAAAAACCAGTCCGCATAGCTTTTTTTGATGTTATTTATTTCATCTTGGATTTAAATCAGACTTTATTTTTTCTCATCTAATTATAGCAGCTTATTGATCGAAAAAAGTCTTTCATTTTACAGGCTGAGTCTGAAATATTTAAAATGATTGTTATATAAACATTAAAGTCGGAAATCCTGAAACCACAGTTCAAACAACTATTGGGGCGTTTGAAGGAAACTAGCTTGCATGAGCAAACTGGGCGGAAGGTACCAAGAATTGTGCTCACGGAAGCTTCTTCTTTAATCAATTACGCGTTGCCGCTACAACGTTTACAGTATTCCCTTTCTGATTAACTCCAACTCTAAAGCTTCTTCTTTAATTTATTACACGTTGCCGCTACAACGTTTACAGTATTCCCTTTCTGATTAACTCCAACTCTAAAGCTTCTTCTTTAATTTATTACACGTTGCCGCTACAACGTTTACAGTATTCCCTTTCTGTTTAAATTCAGCTCTAAAGTTTTTCTTTAATTTATTACGTGTTGCCGCTGGCGTGTGTCTTAAGGAGATCCCACATTATCTCAACAACGTCTATTGTCACTTTGCCTGACCAGTTGAAAATACATACGGGCTGTCTTTTTTCGGGTGCCAAGTCAAAAATTTCAGAAGCAATATAGCGAGGCTCTTCTAAAAGGGATTACGAACAGTTTCAACAAGTCAGAAAGAGATGGCCAGAGTTGTAAAATGTGGAAAGTTTGCTGTCACCAAACAGTAAATCAGTTGATGGATGGGTTTCGCTGCACCAACTACTTCATAAGTGTAGTTATTAGAGAGCTTAAGCATCGACGGCAGACGCGGACGGCAGCCGCAAGTTAAAAGTTCTTATTCCTTACGGTCGATGAATTAGTGTCAAATCGCGCCAGATTTAGTTTTATTCTTTCTCCTGTTGCTGCCCGCGTCTCAAAAATTTCTCTGCTCAAATTCTCTATAAATAGGGATAAAGAAACGGCGGGCATGTTCAGCCACATCAATGCGCGGATAAATCCAAACAGCATGCAGAAGGCTGGGGAGAAAACGATAACTAAGCAGCTTCGCCTGTAGGAAAACAACCGAAGAGATTCTTGAGACCTTGACGATAATTACCACTGAAGATAAAACAGATGCAAGGATTTACAGCACAGTACGAGTGCGCCAGAAGAAAGGCAATAGCACCAAAGTATTGCATGCCGCAAGATGACCATATAGCTATGTTTGATGAATAAAAGAGCAGCAAGGCGTAGATGGTGAATGGCAAGAAGCATACGGCGAACACCAAGACAATGGCAACGGACATATTAAGAACATTTCTTTCTTTCTTCAAACGCCGTTCTCTTGCGTTAGCTGATTGCTTCCCTGGAATCTTCTGCGATTTAATTTTTAAGGAAATGACAAAATAAAGTATGGCAATCAAAACCAAAGGGACATATCTGGTAACAACGATCAATCCCAGTATGTAGGTTTGCAACGATAGGGACTCTCCAAATGTGTCATTCCACTG